AATAATTTATTAATAGTTATATTATGAAAATTTTCTTATAAAAAATAATAATTGTATCTTTTTATTAAAGATTTAAAGAATTCTGTAATAATTTTTTAATTAAAATGTTTTGGAAAAAATCCTCTTAAGCCCCCAAACTTATCTCAAAATATCATTTAAACTTCTAAATTAAAAATAAAGCAGATAAACCCTTTAACTTCAATAACGATGCAAATAAACTCTTCTTACAAAAGAATCAAATGGTATTTTATGTTTAATTTCACCTTGAAAGCATGAATATTCATGAATGAGAAGGGCTTATTTGCATTGTTAATGGAGTCGGAGGACTCATTTGTTTTGTTTTAGTTTAGCAGCTTAAATGTTATTTCGAAATAAATTTGAGGGCTTAAGAAGGGTTTTTGTCAAAAGTTTTAAACTTTCGTTATATAAATATAACAGAATTTTTTTATAACATAAAATTTTTTAATTTATATCCATAAAACACTTTTTCCTTTGAAAGGTACGTGAGAAAATATAAAAATTAATATTAATTTTTGTATTATTATTAAATGAATAAATTTAATTAAATAATTATTAAATTAAATTAATTTTTAATTTTTAATACAAATTAATAATAAGAAATTATATTTATTGTACATTAGAAAAATCCTTTATAACATATCAAAGTTATGTACAGAAATTTACTTCTTGTATTTATTTTTAATAAACTTAATTTAATTTTTTAAAGTTAAATACCTTTTTTTTGTCTCTCTATTATAAGAAAAAGTCCATTTTTAGTTTTTATATTGAAATTTTTTTTTATTCTTAAAATTTGAAATCTGGTTCTTTTTTAATCTTTTTGTTAAGTTTTGACTGATATGTCAGGTAATTAACGAAAAAACTTATTTTGTTTCTTTACTTAAATTACATGAAAAATTTATATGGTAAAAATTGATGATATGACTAAATTTTTGGTCTAATATAATTTTAAAAATCATTTAATTATATAATTGACATTATAAATATTTTAAAGGTTATTTTGTGATTATGAGTACTTGACTTTAATTACTAATTTGCCCCGGCTTCTTCTTCTTCTTCTTCTTCTTTTTTTTTTTTTTTTACGTTTGCCTTATGGAAATTAGATTTGGAATGGTGAACCTAGGTGCCTGGGTTTGCTGGGTTCATCACAAACCCAAGCGTTGGGGTTCATCGTGATCCTAGGTATGGAGTTCATTCTGAACCCAAGTGCCTGCGTTCTTCACGTGTTATTGTTGGATTCGTCACGAACCCAAGTCTCTGGGTTTCTCGTGTGTTGTTGTGTTGCTATCACTTTTTTTATTTAAATCTTTAATTATGTGAAATTGTTTGTGAAACTTAAATTTGTGATGCTGTGTTACTATCACTTTTTTGTTTAGATCTTTGATTATATGAAATTGTTAATATGGTATTTGTTTTTCTTGATTTGAGACGTCTGCATAGGAAAAGAATGAACAACAGAGAAGGAGGGTTAAGGATAATTTTGAAATTTTAGTTTTTATAAATTATATGTTATATTTAATGTTTACGTTGAATGTTATATCATCATTTTTTATTTTTATATTTTTCATGTCATTTATACAAAAAAA